GGAAGACACCGACGAAGATGGATGAGACCAGGGCCGAGGCCACAACCTCGAAGAGACAAAGATGGTGTCGGTTATGCAGGAATTTTTCGGCCTTTCACAGTCAGGACCACAGAGCTAGCAAGTCGACCGGCTCGTGTTCAATTTCTCGGCACTTGGCACTGGTCTGAGGTGAGGCTTTCGAGCGTAAGCGAAGCTTGGAATGGAAGCCCGATCCTAGCAGCAGACCAGGCCACCTGAGACGTAAACCATCAGCGAGACACCGCCCCGGCTGGTGAGGCCGAAAACCTGCGTCATGGCGCAATGGGTTCCGAGCTTCGGAGAGGGAAGACCATCGTTGCTGCCAATCGCAGCACCCAACAACAACACCACCGAGCAGCACCAGCAGCAGCCGCAGCAGCATCAGAAGCAGCACAACAGCCAGAATCTCATCAACATCACCAATATCATCGTCACAGTCACTATCACTACCATCATCAGCGACGGTCTACAACAGACCACTGTCATCATCACCATCACTATTCATCATCAACAACAACATCGTCGTCATCACCACCATCGCCGGCATCACCATCATCGCCGGCATCAACCAACAAGATGACGACCCTCAACATCCACATTACAATGTCAACACCATGTGCCTTCAAAGTCTTCAATGTGGATATGCTTTCAGCCCTGGCAGTGTTCTTGCTGCTTGCGATACCGCTGCTTTCATCTTCAAACAGTAACAATCATGCTCACTTTCAACTCGCCACGGGAAGGAACGACAGTGCGAGCAGAGCAATGAGAACACTAGCCACTAGGCCCGATACAGCTTGTGCCTGAATCTGGGCTCCCTGCGGACATGCCACGTTGACGGAGCTCGGAAATCTCGGTGCAGGCGGGTTTTGTGAATGAGCTCGCGCTTTTTTGACCTGCGATGCCTTGTTTAAGTACAATCTCTCGCGCCAGGTGCAGAAACAGGATTCTGTCCCCGATCTGGGCACCAGGCCACCCAGCAAGAGCACGCTGCTGCACAGATCAACATGGACGTAAAGATCGGACTGGCGTTCTGGTAGCCGACCTGGAGCAGCTCCGAAATCGAGCTTCACGTGATGGGCACAACAGTAAAGACCGTCGATGCTATCCAGCGCAGGTGTAAACAGATCTTAGAAGTCTAGGTCCAGGACACCCTAACCCAAGCAAGCTGCAGAGGCTGACTCGCACACAAAGAAACCTCGAAGCCAAGGGTATGCTCACAAGACTTCGACACACCATCTTCTGTCCCGAGGCCTCGTTCTGTGCCTGCACATTCCTTCGCACGGAGAACCACCTCGGCTGTTGCAGAGAAAGCTGGAAGGAATGGCGATGAGCATGCCAAGCTGGACGTTATGAGCATAACATCTGCATGTCAAGCAAGCATCCTTTCTCTCGGGTGCTCACGCCAGTAGCATGAACAAAAAAGGAACATCTGCAGGGCAAAACCGACAAGAAAAAACTGCTAAAAAACTGCTACACGACCGTTGCAGGTATTGCTGATAGCTCGGCTAGCACGCAGGCTCCGTCTGTAGCACCGAGAGCGCTGCTGTTACTGTTCGAGTTGAAGGTGGAAAGACGAAATAGCCAGTAAGCATCCCTGTATGTAAGTACCAGGAGACCGCAACTAGGTGCTGGCTTCCGACGGACACGCGACCCAATTCTAGGAAGCCAACACGTAGATGGAATGGCCGGATGTGAACGGCAGCACCTGAGACACAGGCTGCAAGACGGACCACGATACTCAAACCAATGGGAACTACTGCCACCGTGATTTACAATATGCTTGGACATGCCATTTAAAAGCGGTTATTTCCGCCACGTGCGTTTTTGGAGGAAGAATACCACCCTGAGTGCAGGGTAAGCTGACTTCTGGACCCTCGGTACAATATCCCCTCAACGAACCCTGATAATCTCCCTTGCAGCATCCCGGCCGAGCTTGCAAGGACAGGCCTTCGCACGGCAGAGGCTGAAAGCGTAACAGCAGCACCCGAGGCTAGAGAGAATCAATTTTCGGTCATGCAAAAATCTCGCTGCCCTGGCCCGAACTTTACGTTAAGTGGAAAGCCCGAAACTTTCGAAACATCAAGATTTGGAAACCCGCAAGCTGCTGTCAGTAGGTGACCCGACACCTTCTTCGTCACAGAAAGCCATGGCCGCAGCCCTTGCCTTGTCAGGCTTGGGAGGGGGCACGGCCTATTTCTGCAGCCTCTGATGAGACAAAGGATTTCGGGTTTCCGCTGCCAGGCAATCGCACATCCAAGGGTTCCGGGCCTTCACACCTTCCAAAAGAAGGATCACCCGCAAGAGCACATGCCTGCCAAAGCCAACACTAGGTTTGGGGCAGAGCTCAGCTGCGAACAGCGCCTGAGCAACGTGTACTGCAAAGCATAGGTGCCAATGAGGGCGGTGATGAACACGACCTCAAAGAGCTGCAAAAGCCGAAATGGAACTCAGGCCATATCGGGGTGCTGCCTGGGCCGTCCTGGTTTTGGCCCCCTGAGAAGCAAGATGACTCACATCAAAATGGTTCTGCAGATTCAACCCGGCCCCAGCCTGCAGGAGCTCGGTGTAAACTCCGAAGGACATGAGCGTCCAGGACAAGGACAGCACGACAGACTGAGCCTTCGACACAGAGCCGCTTTGATGTACGCAGACTTTGATGACAGCAAGGCCTTGTACCGCCGATGAGATCTCCAGAACGTCGAGTTGGAGTTCACACTCCTCCTGAGTTGCAAGATTTCGGCTTCTAGACTCTGAGACTCTAGAACTGGGCAGCAAAGAAGAGCTATCACCCGCGACACAGACAAGTCTCTCCACGTAGGCCAGAAGCGAGGGCGCCTCCAACGGAAAGATTTCCTGGAGGCACTTCCGGTGCTTCTCGACGATGTCAGATCCCTTTACACTCCGATTGCACACGGCCATGAAAACCAGACACGTGTAAAAGGAGACGGTCATCGTACAGCCTGCGTGCCGTACCAGAACACAATCAGAGACATCCTGCTGGTCGGTGCCCCAACAGTTGTAGTCGTGTCGTTGTGGAGTTGCACTCAAATAGCTCCTCTGAGACCTTGCGATCGATTGAAAGGAGTGACCCATGTCCAGCTGAAGGACCATGAGAACGTACACAGCCGCAGCTAGAGGCGGAAACCAAACTGGCACAGATCCCTCGCGCACAAGCCTCTCCGTTCGCAAGACCTTCGAAATCAAGCGAACTGGTCGCTCAGAACTGCTTGGGTCTGGGAAGAGGGCAAACTTCAGGCACATGCCCGTCACATATGCAGCATACATCGAAGGCAAAAATAGGCAATGATGCGTTGTGGAATGCACATTCAAGAATGGGGCCAGGCAAAGCAATGAAACGGCGATGTGGGTGAAGAAACCAATACCAGTCTGCGCTATCACTGGAGACGACGTGGTGGCCCGCTCCCACGGGGGTGACACGAAGCCGTCTTCTGGCCACTCGGCCTCGAGGTCCACATCGCCTTCTTTCGGAGTGGCCCCGTGCGGGGTCTTGGGAGGCACTGGGGTCCCGGCCTGCGGGCGCAGCGCCGACCAAGCCTTCTTTAGGGCCAGGTCTGCTGCGGAGGCCGGCGCGCTGCTTTGGCGCGGGAACTTCTTGTCCGGGGCCTTGACTCGCAGCTTCATCTCGCTAAAGCCGCTAAAGGCCTTCACATCTTTGGAGCTGCGCCGGGCCTGGCCCTCCAATCCACGCGCTGTGGGTGGCGTTGAAATGGAAATGACGCCACAGGGCTGACCGGGCTGGGGCGGCTGCAGGGTCTGCTTGGACAGATGCCCATGCTCGTAGCCACTGTCTTCACTGGTCTCAGGGTTGATCCGGCCGGAGATGGCATGAATCTGCGCCATCTCCTCCAAATGCTCATCTGCTGCAGACGCAGCACTGCGAACTGCGCTGCTAGTAGCCAGGTCCAAGCCAATCAAAGGTACCAGACGCGGCCTCCTTTTCTTCCATGCCTTGTAAGAGCCCTTCTCTTCTGCAAATTCGAGCTTCCGTTCTCTCACAGATGCACAGAGGCTGGCCATCTCACCCCTGGCACCGGTGGCATTGCCAGCACGGAAGGCCTGGTAGTCCGCGCGATAGGCATCCAGCTCCACGGGCTCAATGTCTTTGGGCAGAAACTCCAGGGGCGGGCCGAGCACATTTTGTACTTCGAGGCCCTCCTCGGATGGCTCTGGGCTCGGATCCAAGCTGTCGGAGCCGCCAAAGAAACTCAGCTGACGGACATATTCGTGACCTGCTTCCAGATGGCTCGTGGTGGACACGTCCTGCTCGACCAGACGAAACTGGTATTTCGCCTCCAGATGCGACGATGGGACATGAGGCGGAAGTACTTGCGAAGTTTGCATGGCAGCATGTGCAACTCCCAGGCAGGAACTGGGGCGAGGCTTAAAATCAGCTGTCTGCTTGGGTGTAGGCTTCCGCTCTCTGGGACGCAGCTTGGTATTCTAATCTGCTGGCTTTCGAAGAGTCGGGCTCAAAAGTCGCGGTGTGATGCCCGAACAACCTCGCAAACATGCGACTGCTCGATTTTAGTGACACGTGCTGCGACATGTTGCAAAAAGCTCGACCGACAAGCACAAACTGCATTCCCGGGCAACCAGAAGAGCAGGCAAGCCTGGTAATAGCCTGCTTATTGCTGTGGATCAACAAACCGGCGGGAACTAACGAAGCCAAAACCAAACAAGGAAGAACAACATCCTGTCGCTGAGCATTGCGATTCTTCGGTGAACACCATTCCACTTCACTCAAAGTTTTCAGTCTCTGTTGCGGTCGCACTGCGAACCCTCTTTGGCATTTCTTGCGCTTACCAGCAAGGGAACGAACATAATGGAGCAGGGTTCTCATCAACATGCTGAGACAAGCAATTAAACGGCACACAAGGCCCGATGATAGAGCAATGTTGAGAGCTGTAGAACTCAACACTCCTCGGATGTCCTTGCATCCAACAAAAGTCCGAGACAAAGGCTCAGCCGCCCTTGCTCGCCACACTGCTGCTATCATCACCACTGCTTTCGGAGGTGTCGGTCTCCGATTCCGTCTTCCCCTGGATGGCACGATAGCTGGCCGCTTCACTCACCATGAAAAGCACCACGCTCACAGCCGCGTACGTGATTTGCGTCATAGCGAAACCCTGCTGCTCACCCAGGGCAATGCCGTATCGAGCCGAGATGGGACCAAAGCCACGGCCGAGAAAGTCCGCCATCACAAGGCCCAAAAGAGTGGTGGTGTTCCTGAGGGAAAGGGAAAGTTTTGACTGTTCGATATTCAAGATTTGCAATTGGCATCAGAGGGTCCTGTCAAGCAACGAGCCATCCGGCATCACATAGTCCTGCATCCTCCTTGGCGGTGTCTTTGACAAGAAGTAACATGACATCGCTGAGCATGCAGACCGGCGAACTAAGCTACTAGAACCTTCCCTGCATTTTCCAAGTCTCTGAAAATAGCGCTGCTATTGAGATATATATATATATACATACATATACACACACATATATGTATATATGCATGTATCCGTATCCACCTAGATATGCACATTGATGCACATACATGCATACATACGTACACACCTACCTGCCTGCCTACCTACCTACCTACATACATACATACACCAACATACCTATCTATCTATCTGTCTGTCTCTATCTGCCTATCTGCCTATCTGTCTATCCGTCTATCTGTCTATCCGTCTCTCTGTCTGCCTATCTATCTGTCTATATCTGTTTCCATATATCTATATCTGTTTCCATATATATATATATATACACGTATATGTACATATATATATATATATACACGCATGTGATGCATGTGTGTGTATATATCTGTATACACACACGACGAATAACCAACGAACCCAGCAGTTCATCGCATGCCTGGACATCGTTCACACCAAACTCGAGACGCCCCCACACCGCTGCCCACAAGGGTACCCTTGATTGAAATGGCAACTCACTGCAGCCGACGGTGCGCCATGACGATACCACTGCTCAGTGCCATCATCGGAAAGAACAGCATCGAGGCGATGTAAAAGGTCGCAAAATTCTCGAAGATCAAAAAACACCCGGCAGCCAAACTTGCCCAAAGCATGGACTGCAGGGATACGCGGGATTGCTTGCCCACCTGTAGCCTCTCGTATAGAAGCTGCACGGGCAGCGCGGTGAAGACGATGATGGCACAAAGCAAGCCTGCCAGGCCTGGCTGAATGTCGTACTTGCTCTGGAAAAGCTCTGCAGTGCCCACCTCCAGAGAGGCCAGGGACAAGTTGCGGAGGACGAGCATGGCCAGGCAAAGGCACACCACCGCCGCCCGGGCGCCTGACTTGCCTCCTGCAGTCCTACAATCTGGCATTTGCTCCAGGGAGGGGAGTGGGGGCAGGAGCAAGCACAGCTGCATCCAGGGTATCAAAGCGAGTAAGGCCAGCATGCCCTCGGAGCCGTCGAGATCTGAACTGCAAGGGACGATCTTGGCGGTGGCCGTTGCAAGGGAGCTAACCAGCGGTCCGGCTCCCAGGCCAAGACAGCCGGCCACAAAGAGCCTGAGATTGTGAAGTGCCCGGTGCTCGCTGGGGAGGCGCGCAGCCAGGTTCCAAGCCAGGCTGACTTGAAGGCCCCCGCCCATGCCCAGGAGCAGCCGGGACGTCACCAAGACCCACAAAACCCAAAGACGACCTTCAACTTCGAAGAAAGCCAACAAGGCGAAGGCGCAGGAAAACACAATCTGCAGCAGGGCACCCGCGACGAGCCCACGTCGCGGCCTCCGCCAGCACTCCGGATAAAACTTCAAGGCCAAGAAAACCAAGACCATGCCCACGGCCGTTCCCATCTTGTGGGCGCCCACCAGACATCCTGATGCCAGTGGGCTAGCCTCGATGTGGAGTTGTGCTTCCCTATAAAGCTACATGTAGTCATGTCGAAGAACTAAAGGATGAGGCCTAAGACCCTAAGAGGCCACAGGAGCCTGGAACTGCAGGGCTAGGACGTGGCTTCGGACGAGGACCACCGTGAAGAGCAGGTTGTCCTTCAAGCATTGGCTACCCGAAGGTTGAATAATCGAGAGCAACATCTACGTAAGAAGTCCCGTGAGCCTATGTATGTGGCCTGTCCTGGAAGTTGGCGTAGACGCCTAGGGCGAGCATATAGGTGACAGGAGCGGAGTCCACGACACACCTGAAGATCAGGTGTAGGACAATCGTGCCCAGCAATGTGACGACCACAGCTGGTATGACGACATCGACCATCAAACATTCTGGTCTCATCTGAGTTCTGGGAGCCGCTGCTGTCTTCTGCAGCAAAGACACAGCCCTCACAGCACAATCAGAGTCCGCCGTTTCAGCCAGAATTTTTGCATCTTGAAGTGGCCGATCCGTCACGAGTACTCGGATCTCGGCTGAGATGCGTTCTGTGTCAGGTTCCTGCGTCAGCCACACCGCACTGTGAGGAGTTCGATCATTGTAGAACAGCAATGCCTGCCCAAAGGTCATGTTCGGCGCCATTCCCCACAACGCAGTCTCCGCAGATGCGACACTCGATCGCAACACAGTTATCGTATCGTTGTAGTTTTTGATCTGGACATGCATTGTGGACACCATGTCATTCAAATCCGGAGCTGATGAGATTGCATTCTGACCATTGGCACCATTCAGCAGAAATGCAATGGGATGTTGATTCAACATGCCAGGGGTTAAGGACACCCACAAATTCAAGACGCCTGGATCTTGCGCGTCAACCATTCTGACGTAGTCATCAAAGCTGTAACCCCTGTCCTCGAAGTCTTGCTGCGAGAAGGGCCAGTGAGCGTGGACTGTCGCCCTCACGCCTCCCTCCTTGGTAGAGGTCTCGGTCAGTCGAGCGACACCATCCCATAGCTTGTCCATGTGGAACACATGGTGAGCATTTCGCAGGGTCGAGCTCCCTGTGTGGCGAACGGTGGCTTCGGCGTAAATGGCTCCACCAGAGACGCGCGATGTGTCCGCGAGGTGAATGATTTCTCTTGCGAACCGCTGCTCGAGGAAGCTGAGCATGGCTTTGCCTGACACACGCAAAAAACCTCTTATGCACTTTCAGGCTCCGCCTCTTCCCTGCCCAGCCTACCGCCATGCGGGTCTCATGACTGGCCACCGAAGCAGTCTCTGGGTAGACGTCATTTTCCTTCAGAAACTCCGCAAGATTCACAAGCTCGACGCCGTCGCTGCGCAGCGTGAAGCTGGAATTGATGGGATGTAGGTTCAGCTCGACCTGGCGAAAGCGCTTAGAATCTTAGAGTAAGTTGGGCAAAAATGCATCGACCGCTATGGTACCGTCTTAGTCTTAATCTTGATAAAACCCCTATACTGCCCTTTTTAGACACGATCCTACAGGCTCCCCCTTCACAACACGGCCTGAGTCAAGCTGTCCGGGTTCACAGCGAAGCCTTGTCGCTGGCCCTGACGAATGGACTCGTCCAGGTCTCCAAAAGGCACGTCTGGTTTCCTGGTCGCATCTCAGCTCCGAGGGGGCACAACGTAGCGATTTAGCAGGTGTTTCCTCTGAAAGCTCCAACTGACTTGCTTATCCCCTTGAGCCTTCCACAAGACTCGAGCTTAAACTTGATTGTAAGGGTTTAGTTAGAAGCTTCACTGCAGATTACGAGCTGACTTGCAAGTGGCAAGGCGGCAAGTAAAAACAACAGGTTGCTAGATAATGCCGAGTTCAAGAACGTGGCCGTTGCTGGAATTCCCGAAGCCGCACCGCCAGACCTTGATGGCTCCCGATTTTTTCCATGAAGCATTGTCTTGGTCATGCATTTCTGTGATTGCAACGACTGCCTCCACTTCGAGATGTTCGACTAGTTGTTGGTTGTCTCTGTGTAGCACAACCTTTATAGCATGTGGGTTGCAGCTGATCCTCGCAGAACCTGAAGAGGACATCCCGTAAACTGGCAAACCTGAAGTATCCCACAATGACCTTTCCCGGTCTGGACTCACTCTGGTTCTCATCTGAGCCACGTTTGGAAAACAAATGAACAAAGCACCACCAAGATCTGGATGACTCTTTCTCTTCCCACCATGGCAATGTTGCCGCTGGTGGTCAATATTTTGATTGTGGAGTAAACCGTCCAAACATCCTCGCCACTACCTTTCTGCAGATGTTGCAAACTGCGCGCTGTCCTGCATCCTGTACCTATAAAATTCTGCTGATGTGTGTTAAAAGTGGAACGAGCCGAAACAGCATCGAAACATAAGCACCAGGCAATCTCCAAGAAGAAAACGTATACTCAACCACTCTTTCATGATCGAGCCGGATGCATACTTGCACATATCTGCAACTACACAGTACGACGCCAGCAAGGCCAAAAGCAATCCACACATGAATCTTCCTTAAATTCTACAACTTGCAACATGCTGTGTGGCTCGAGAAGGGTTTCAACGAAAGATCGAACCTTCAGCAACAATGAGAATAAACGTCCTGAGTCCTGGGGGTGCCTGGACCCAGCAGACCACAAACAGACGCACAACAGGAGATACCATTGCCTGCAGAGCTTCTCCAGTGTGTCAGTTTCGACCCTACGGAGCACTGCTGGCAATTTTAAGGCAATAAGTTGCCGCTCAACAAACGCGTCCCGTTGTTGAACTTAACCTTACTTCTGACGTGTCAACTTTTTGGTGCCGCCTTGCCAGGATACACAGAAGAAAAAACAGCTGCATCCACTTTGACGTCTTGCTGTTGCTGGCATGCTCTATCTTTTGCCAAATGCAGTTCTTTTTAAACAAATAGATGGCTAAAATCTAGAAGTGGGTTTAATTTCGAAGGCCGGAGGGGGAGAGGGGGGGTGAGCCGGTACACCCCTTCAGGATTACTCCTGATGGAGTGCAGGTCAGTTGAGTCCCACAGACCTAAAGGCAATGCCCTTGCACGCGGACAGCAAGTGTTT